AAAATTACATGTAACCTTAGCACACGCAAAATGCACGGCACATGTGAAATACGTAACACTCTGCCTGGCACCGAGTAGCTACTCGAGACACAACCACCGACACCCGACCCTTGCCTGGCACCGAGCAGCTCGAGAGGAGGGAGAGGACAGCACGGAACCCTCCTTCTGGGGGAGACAGCAGATGGGAGAGCCCGCTGGGCTCTCTCTGGAGACCGGGCCCGCCTCCTCAGACTGTCTTACTCTGTCCCGAGAACTTGTGCAAGAGTAGAATGGTTAATTCCCATCCGGGTTATGGATGGGAAAGTGGGGACCCAAGGGGGCAGCAGGCTGTTTGTGGGGCAGCAGAGGGGGAGTAAGGGGGGGGAAGCACGTGGACTGCGACTTGAAAAGCAATTGGGCCGATTCCAGGACTCTGGTTCCTCCCAGTTCTGTGCCTCCAGAGGTGGGGCTGGGTGGGGCTGGGTCTCTGAGTGATTCAGGTGAGAGTCAGCAGCAGATTTCCAAAGAGTGGGTGGGACCCAGTAAGGTTGAGACCTCTCCTGGGGCATTAAAATCCAGGTCCCAGCTTGGGCCTCCGGGCAGGGTGCCAAGAGGCCATGTGTTCGGTGAGGCCTGGGGTTGGGGTCTGCAGAGAGAGAACCACCCCCATGTCACTGGTGGGTAAGGGAGGGGGACCTTTGCTGCCTTAGCTTGTACTGACTCAGGGCTGGGATGGAGCTGGACCCTTGAGTGGGGGGATGCTGGCCACTGGGCCCAGCTGGGAAAGGCTGGGACCAGCCCCCGGCACTTCATGCGGTTGTCACAGCAGATGGGTGGGCGGCAGTCACTGAGGTGGGCCTAGCTCTGGCCCTCACTCCCTCATAGAAGGTCTGTAACTCTTCACCACTCACACAGTCATTCAGCCACTCACACAGTCATCTCTATAGTCAGTCAACCATCTTCTGGACTTCAACCCCAGATCTTGGCTTGGCCCCGGGAGGACAAGAGTGAACCAGACATTTATGGCCCAATAAGGGACAGAGAGGGACAAGACACCCATTGTACTCACTGCAAAGCGGGGAAGCACCTGAGTCTGTCCCTCCAAGGACAGAAGGAGGAGGAGTTTCAAGCTTCCCAGGGGACACCGCAGCTGGGCCTGGCCAACTGTAACAGGTGGTCCCAGGAAAGGGGGAGGTTCCAGGTTCCCTGCCCCACCCAAGGGGGAGTAGAGCTGAGCAGGGAGAGAAGCTGCAGAGGAGACTGAGGAAGGAGGGAGGCAGGATAGAGCCGGAAGGAGGCCTGGAGGAGGCGCATGGAGCCTAGAGTCATGTGAAGAAACTGCGCTTGCCTTTTGGTCGTGGACGGGGTGACACAGATGAGGGTGAGACCCGTGGGGAGGTGACCATGGCAGCTTTTATCTTGATGTTGATTTTGCTCTTTTCCTTCCGGGCTTGTCTGGTGGTTTCTGACCCTTTTCTGTGGGTCCCCACTGGAAGGTGTTTTCGACTTGTGGCAGGCTGTGGGGCCTTGCTCTGGGCCAATCCCATTTGGATGGAGTTTTACCCATGAGGGGACGGGTAACTTTGGGTGCTTGATTTAGAAACTAGACTCTTTGCCTTTCCTGTATTGTTTCCTAGTTTTATCAAAGTTCCTTCCCATTGAAGTCTCCTATGTTTTGTGTTGATGCGGCGGATGGCAGAACCCGTTTAGAGCAGGCAGGTTTGGGGGTCTGGAGTGTCCCCCTCCCTGCCTTGTAACACAACCAGGACAAGTTCACCAGCCAGAGGATTAGAAAGACCCACCGGATGCTGGGGCTCTAGGCCTTGGGATGGGGTTGGGGGAAGGTTACTTTCCCAGGCCCCAGGGGGAGCTGGGACCTTTCCCCTGCAAGTCGATTGTGGACTCTGCGCCACACCGTAAGCCCACACTGGAACTCCACCTATCCAGCCACCTCCCTGGCCCTCTCTGAGCTTTATCGCCACCATCAAGCCAGGAGCCAGGTGTCCTCCTGCAAACGCCTCTTGCCCTGAAACTCCACTGTCAATCAGTCGCCAAGCTCGGCCCTTCCGCTGCTATTTGTCTGTGCTTTCCTGCCCCCATCCCTGGAGGACAGCACTGGCTGTCTCCAGATGTCCAGTCACAGAGCCTGGCCACAGGAGGGCTCAGTCACTCCATGCTGGGACTGCACTGTTCCCAGAGGCCATCTGATTTGAACTCCTGAGGCCAGGAGGGCTGCCAAGGTCTGTCCAAGGTAAAAAACCAGTGTAGAACTGAGACTTCAACTCAGCTGAAGAGCACACAAGTGTTTGCTCTTTAAATTCAGAGGGTGGCTTGGGGAAAGGGCAGGTGGGGGAGGCGTGATGAGTGCTGGGTCCAGGGCCCGAAGGGAGGGAGGGTCCGGGAAGGGAAGAAGAGGCTGTCTTCCAGCTCGGCAAGCCCTTCTTTTCTTTGAGTAACTGGAGCCCATATCTGTACCTTGACCCCATTTTTTGTTGTTGTGCTGATACTCGGTGACACACTTCTCCCGGCCCTGTTGGGTAGTTACCAGGGGGTCCTGCCTCTGGGGAGGGGGAGGCTGAAGCCTGTCCTGGCACTCCAGGGCCTTGGGCCGTCCACCTGCCCATGTCTGCCCTGGCTTGCTGCCTCCCTGGGGCAGCTGGCTTGGGTCCCAGTGGAGCATGGGAGCCACTCGGGTGGGGACCTAGGAGGGGCTCACCAGCAATGCTCACCTCCCCCACCTGCCACAGTTCCCACACCCCAAAGATGCTTGGGAGCCAGCACAAGGACTTCAACGTGCTCCTGCCAGATGTTCCCCATGTGGGTCCACGGGGTGTGTGTGCAGGGGAAATGGAGGGAGAAAGCCTGTGGGTGTGAGCACCAGGGGACTCTGGCTCAGGGCCCGACCCCTCTAGGATCCGTTTCCCAGCAATAAAAGAAAGGCCTGGATGCAGCACAGTCAGCAGGTAGATGGAAATCCAGCTGGAAATCCAGAGCAGCCAGCCCTGGAACCCCAATCAAGAGATCCTGGAAGACAGTGTCTGGGCGGGGGAGGGTGATATGGTGAGACATAGGGCGCAAGGGGGAAGACGAATACCAGATGATTTCACTCCTGGAATATAAACTACACCAAAACAAACCCTAGACATCTGACTGTAGAACCGAGGCTACCAGAGGAAGAGGCAGAGGGTGGGGAGTAGAGAGAAGGGGCCCCGTGGTCTGCCGTGAGGACTATGGGTGCCCTGGTGGTGGGTGTGGTGCGGTGACCTACACCTGGACAGGTGAGAACCTGTACCCCTAAATCATATAGTTTTGCAACAACATGACATCAATTGAAAAAAGAAAACAGTGCGTCCTGATAACTGAGCACCTACTATGTGCTGAGTGCTGCATTGGGTGCAAATCTTCAATCCTCAAATGTCACCCAGATATCTTTCTGTTATTAATTTTTTTAAAAAAAGATTTATTTATTTATGCATACAAGAGCTGGGGTACAGGCCAAAGGTGGAGGATGAGAGGATTCACCAGAGACAGAGCGGGGAGCAGAACAGGCGGATCTACTGAGGGGAGCAGCGGGCGAGACAGGAGCTGTCTGCTGCGGCATGTGGGTTGCTCCCTGGTCTGGGATTGAACTCTGTGCTGCAGACACTGCGAATTGCTTCACAGTGCTGACGCTTAACCCCTTGCGCCACCAGGGAGGCCCTGTGTGCAAATCTTTTAACCGCCTTCTGCAATGGGTCTTGTTATTATCCCCATCTTAGAGATGAGAAGACGGAAGACCAGAGAAGGTGGTGCCAGGTCCCAGGTGACACAGCTGATAAACCCGAGACTCTGGATTTGAACTCACATCTAGACTTGGGGCCTAGGACTTTCAGAGCAGGGGCTGGGGCAGAGACCAGGGACCTCGGGTTCTGCAGTCAGACATCTAGGGTTTGTTCTGGTTTACTTCAGTCTCTTCTTTTGTTTCTTTATAGTCCACAAATTGTTAGGGGGAAAAGGCTGTCCTAAAGCTAATCCCATACAGGCTCTGTGGACTCCACCCCCACCCCAGGCCAAAGCCAGAGACACTGGGAACCCCAAATCCCATCACCACCAAAGGGAAGGTGGCTGGGACCTGAGGGTGGGGTGAAGCAGTCAGGTTGGTATAAAGCCAGACACTTGGGCTTTGGAGGGGTCCCCCATTTTGGCTCCCCGCCAGCTCGCAGCGTCCGGCCAGCTCTGAGAGTGACTTTGGGTTTCCAGGTCGGCGGATCGGGTAGGACGCATTAAAGACTTTATTTCCCTATTTTCTCCCTGAGTTGTACATTTTCCTTATTTCCTTTTCCCTTGTAAGTAAACCTTTTATGAACCTTTTGTGGGTGTCTGTCGTGGAGTATTCATAAGTCCCTTTTGAGCGCGCGGGTGAGGACCCACAGCCAGGAACCCGCTCAATATCGGGGCTGCCCTATAACAATACGAGCGAACTCATCCCGCATCTGTCTCTCCCTCCCACCCTGGCCTCGGCCCCTGGGGGAGGTCAGTGCGCCCCATCAGATCTGACCGAGGGCAGCGGGGTTCTCCTTTCGGACAGCCCTGCAGGCCAGGGGAGGGGCTGCTCTTCCAGCCCCTTCGCCTCGGGGCACGGGGGCTGGTTCTGCCCAGCAGCCCCTCCCCTGAGCGCCTCCCCAGCCGCCCGCGCCCGGGACCCTCCGCGCATCTCCCCGGGGGTTCCTCTCCAGACGGCTCCTGCACCGGCGCCCTGGAACAATTAGGAAAATGCCTGGACCGGGCAGAGGAAGTGGGCGGGGGCCGGCTGGCGGGGGGCGGGCCGCGGCGCCCGGCAGTTCCAGGCGCACCCCGGGAGCCGCGGCTGAGACTCGCCCGCCCGGCCGCGCGCACCATGAGCCGTGAGTCGCGCCCCGCGCACCCCGCCACCGGCCCCGACACCCCGCGCGCCTCCCGGGGCGCCCCGCATGCCAGCTCAGCCTCCGCCTCTCTCCTTCTGCAGGAAGGAGTCTCTCGCTCCGGCTCCCGCTGCTCCTGCTGCTGCTGCTGCCGCCGCCCCCGGTCACTCCCGCGAGCCCCGGGGCGCCCGCGCCCGGTAGGCGACTCCCCCTGCCCCGGGCTCGCCCCGCGCCGGCCGGGCCGCCCTCCCTCCGCTCCCCGCGGGCCGGCCCAGCTTCCCCTTTCTGCTCGCCGGGCCCGGGCGGCGGGAGGGGGCTGGTCGGGGTGTGGGGTGGGGGCTCTGTGAGGACCCCTCGGGGGTGTGGTTTGGCGAGCGTTCGTTTTGGAGGAAGCAGCTGTCCGGGATCTCCCGCCGGCTCTGGGGGAAGGGACACCCCCTCACCTGCGGATGCTGGCTGGGGGGCCTCCTGCCAGGAAGCCGCTTCGCCAGGGGAAGGGCGGGTGCACGGTTCCTCTTCTCAGCCTCTAGCTTTTTGGGGACCCATCAGGGTGGAGAAGAGCTCCCCTGGGGAGGATGGGGGAGTATACACCAGCCATGCTGCGGAGAAGGAAGGTGGAAATACATTTGTGGAGTTCTGTTGCTTCCCCTGAGGTTTATTATTTTTTAAATGTTTATTTATTTATCTATGCATGCAAGAGCTGGGGTACAGGCCAGAGGTGCAGGGGGTGAGAGGATCCACCAGAGACAGAGTGGGGAGCAGAACAGGCAGAATGACTGAAATACACGGCTGAGGGGAGCAGCGGGCGAGACAGGAGAGGTCTGCTGCACCTTGTGGGTCAGCTCCCTGGCAGGTCGGAATCGAACTCGTGCTGCAGAGGCTGCGGATTGCTTCATAGTGTGGAGCTTAACCCCTTGCGCCACCAGGAAGGCCCTTCCCCTGAGGTTTAAACCCCCACCGGCAGGTCTCCTTGGGTAGAGGAGTGGAGACTCAGGTGCTGTAACTCCCTCCCCCTCACAAGGCTCTGGAACTGAACTTGTCTGACTCCAGCACTTTGCAAGGTCTTTCCAAAGAGAGACCCCCCTCCACTTCAGACCTTGATGTCATCACCCTCAAGATGATGGGGAAAGTCAGGGCCTATGAAATTCCACCCCTGCACCTGCATGTCTCAAGTTCCTTGGGAAGGAATTCAGCTCCTCCCTCGACCACCTTTCCTCCCCAGCTTGGTGGCTTGGCTGTCCCAAGGGCAAAGAGCAAAGGGCGCTGCACAGTCCAGCTGGAAGGTCTACCCCCTCTGGGTCTCCAGGCCCGTCTCTAACATGGGGACAAGAGGGCTGGGAGGAGGGGAGGGCGCTGGGCTGTTCTGGGGTGTTCTGAGGAGTGGGGGGGCAGAAGGGAGAGGACCTGGACCCTGAAGAGGGGCTGTGCTGTCCACGGTGGATCGGACCAATTTCCCTGGAGGAGGGCGTGAGTGGGTGGCTGCCGGGAAGCCAGGGGGAGGATGGAGGGACACTGCAGGCACACAGGCACTCGGGCGTGAGCTAAGGTTTGTTTGCGGGAAGAAGAGAAAGAAGCCCATGAGGCCAGAACTTTACAGTTTAAAGAAACTGGCTGTGGACTCCCATGTTTTGGGGGCTGATGGCAGCCCTGCCAGGAGAGTGTCAGGCCCATCCTGTGGATGGGGATTCTGAGGCCCAGAGGGCTGAGTCCATTTTCTGAGACCCCAGGAGGATTGCTGAGACTTCCCCTGGCTGCCCCGTTAGCCCCCACTTGGCAGCCACCTGGTCAGCCTAGCACTTCCTCAGAGGCTCTCCAGCTCCTGCCCAGGGAGCGTGGTCTGTGCCATTTTGTTTTTTTGCCTTCTCTGATCCTTCTACCCGCAGTGTTCACATGGAATTGCCTTTTTTTTTTTTCAGTCAACAAATATTGTGTGTGGGGGGGCTGGCTTCATGTCGGGGTTCGAGGGAGGGAAGCACAGGGGTGAGTGGGGCTCTGGGAGGAGTAGCTCTCAAGTGTGTGGTGTTGAGGGGGCTTGTGGAGGTGGTGACATTTGACCTGGACCCTGAAGGGGGTATGAGTAGGGGTGCTGTGGGACTGTACTATGACCTTCGGAACCATCTTGTCTTTCTGGTGGAGACGACATGAGCTGAAGCCTCGAGGTCTGAAGCACAGGAAGCAGATGGGGGCTGAGGGAACGCAGGGCAAGAGGCAGGTGAGGTGAGGAGCTAGGGCTTGGGCCTGAGGGTAAGTGGGAGCTGGAGAGTGGGCTGGATAGACACGGGGGGGGGGGGCAAGATTGGAGGCCAGGAAGTCACGAGGGTGCTTGTTGCAGGGAAGCCACTGCGCTCTGGCTGCCTTCGTACTTTTAAGTCTATGAGCTAATCAAGGCCCAGGATGCCTGGGCATCTCCTCCGGGGAGTGGAAGCCTGAGTTTTGCCCCCAGTGGGGCAGCAAACGCTGATCCCCCAGGAGATGAGGACTGGAGACTCCCCGGAGGGCAGGTGCAGAGAGAGAGGGAGGGTTGCTTTTGCCTCTTATATGGGGGAAGGGATTTTTGTCCAGCTAGGAGGGCCAGGTAGGGGGTCCTTAGCACTCAAGTCCAGCATACCAGCCCCTGAACTTGGCTTGGTGCCTTCTTTCTGGCTGGAGAGAGGGCGTGAACTGGCAGCCAGAGCTCCATGATGGTGGAGGGGTACGAGGCCCCCTCTTGGCCTGGTGCACAGGCCAGGAGCCCTGTGCTGAGGCCTCTGGCTGCCTGCCGCCTGCCTCCTCCTATCAGCAGTACCAGCTGGGTCTGTGGGCCAGCAAGGGCTTCCTTCCCATCTGGGCTCTTCCAGCTGTGGGCCCAGCTGTTGGGGCTGGCAGGCAAACGCCCGGCCTCTGGCTGCCGATCTCTGGGTATTGGGGCTGCGGCACAGGCCTGGCTCAGTCAGGGCCCCTTCTTTTTCTCTTTGACTGCCAAGCTCCTGGAATTTCTCTAAATATTATTCTTAGAGGATTTCGCTCCATCCTCTTTAATGGGGCCTAATGCTTCCAGAGCCTCTGTATCCTGGAGGATTTGGTGTTCCCCCACGGGGCCTCTTGTCCTAACGCCCTAGCTGGGGAACATGGGCCTGAATCCCAAGAAAGCTCTGGAGCCAGGCGGTCCTGGCTGGTCTTCGTGTGTAGGGCCCATGCAGTCCGGGCACGCTGATCGTGAGGGCACATTGTCACGTTCTCCGTGAGGGGCTGGGAGGAAAGGACCATGTTGGTATGGCCGATGGAGAGGGACAGATGGGCTCACCCGCAGTGGAGAAGGGGAGGCAGAGAGGGAGGTCTCCGTAGAACCCCTTTGCTTCCCCCCCTTCCCGGGACACACAGAAACGTGAGGCAAGAGGGTGGAAAGGACTGGCTCAAGGACACACAGCACTGGGACATATCCTTGCCCAGCACCCACCTGCCGCGGGTCCTGTGCTGGGTGTGGGAGCGCAAGAGGCCTCAGACTCAGCCCCGCATCTCCCAGTTCTCTTTCTTGAGGGTTTATTATACTCGGGGTCTGCTACTGAGCACAGAACTGCGCTGGCACGAAAGCATGTGGGATTTCAGGTAGATGGTCGGAGGCTCTTTGTCCATAGTTGCCAGAGCTGGGGGATCCCTCTAGCGCCCTGGTTTCATTCATTCAGGATTTTCAGTTCCACCAAGAAGGAACGATGATGACTCTACCTCATCTGGGGTGACTTCCAGCCTATGATCCAGGTCTGGTCACTGCCAGGAAGCGGAAAAGAGAGGCAAAGAATTCAAGTGCTGGCTCTGAGCTTCTAGCGGTGGGGCTGGGGCGCCCTCCTGCCTGCAAGGCTCGCATTCCGCCCCTGTGCCTGGCAGCCTCGCTAGCCCTCCTCGAGGCGCTGCGCAGATAAAGGAGCAGCGGGCCGCTGGGCCGCCGGCCGTGGAGCAGGCAGCTACAGCCCTGACTGGCCCGCTGACCACGACAGCCCAGCTATGGTCAGGCTCACCCTGGGGGACGCAGCACCTGGCGTCCTTTCTGCTCACCCTGACGCCCCGAGGCCCCGGTGGCTGTTGTTGTCTTCGCTGGAGAAAACTTTTCCTGCCCCGGAGCAGTTTATGGAAAGATCGTGGAGGAGGAGGGAGGAAAAGTTGGGCAGTGGGCCTGGGAGGGAGGCGCCTCTCTCTGCACAGGCTTCTTGGCCAGAAAGCGAAGCGCGGGAGGCGGGAGCAGCGACGCAGCCTGCTGGGCTGGAGGGAGGACGTGCAGGCAGCCTTCACTGCCGACTTCAGAGCCAGGCGCGGGGTTGGGAGGAGAGGAGGCCTCTGGCCAAGCTGCGGCTGGCCCGTCCGCTGGACTCATTGGGTTAACTCCAGCACATCAGATCCATATCTGGGTGCTGGATCTCTGCGCCTCAGCTGCGTGCTTGGTCTGCGCTGGGGCAGAGAAAATCAGGGAAAGTGTGGCCCTGAAGTGGGGGCTGAGGAAGAGTCGATGGAATTGGAACCTGGAGTTTTCTGGGGGAGGCAAGGCCTGGGCTTGGGTGGGGGAGGCTCAGGTAGACTTGGAGGGAATTTATGAGGCAGGAGCAGCTGTCGGGGTGAAGGAAGGAGAAGAGCTTTGCTTTGAGGCCAAGGGATGAAGGGGCCACAGAATGAACTGGAAGGCCCTCTTGAGCCCCCTACTGTGGTGGGGATGAGGAAATAGTCCAGACAAGGGCAGGTCCTTGGCACCTGTGACTGCTGATCCTTTGGTGGTAAAGGGTCTTGTGTGCAGGGACAGGAGCCAGGCAGGGGGCTCCTGGACAGGTGAATTGGACAGGTGAGCAGAGTGTCCTGGGCAGGAGGGATCAATGAGGGAGGTACAGACCCCTGAGGCTGAGCCGGCTGCAGGGGTGGCTGGGGGCTCCTTGGCATTTCCCGGCCTGTGTCTGTGGGTCCTGCCAGGCCACTGCCCTGCGTGCTGCCCACCCTGCACCTGTTTCAGCAGATAAGACATTTTAGTTTGGCCTTCTTCCCCTTCACCCCTCTTTCCCCACCCCTTGCACGGGCCTCAATGGTGCCTTTGTGGGGCTACAGGGAGTCTTTAGGACTTAAACAAAACTATTTGCATTGCTTGTGTTTCTTTTGTTTGATTTGTTTATGTGCGGTGGGGAGAGGGTAGCACCCTCCAGAGAGGGGGGCCCAGGGGACCCTGCTGTCCAGGACCCAGGCTGAAAAGTGGGGAGCCCTAGACTGGAGGGGTCAGGCCTTGCTCAGGGTCATGCCCTCAGACTCTGCACCCTGAGATGACTGTCCGGGCCTCTCCTGCTTTTTGTTGCCCTCTTGACCACTGAGAATCAGCTGCACAAAGGCTAGGAGTTCCCTGTGATGTTGGCTCCAAGTCCAGATCAGGAAGTATTGATATATTTGCAGAGGAAAGCCTGGCATGTTCTGTGTGAGGCCAGAGAAGGCACCTTCTGCCAGGGGCCAGGTTTTGCCAAGCCTCCGCCTCTGTGAGAGCCTCGGTTTCCCCTGCTGAGGGCTGGAGGAGCTCTGAGGAGCTTCTGGCTTTGCTCAGCAGCACAGACTGTGCAGGGGCTGTGGCCAGTGAGTGCTAGGGTAGACCCCAGGAGGGGCAGCCTGGTGGGGGTCTTGCCAGGAGGCAGTGGGCAGATGCCAGGGCTCTATGCACCCTCTCGGGAAATTTTTCCTGTCACGTCTCCTGTTTGTTTGGTCCCTGACTTGCCTCAGGCTTCTAGACCCCAGATCCTACCCTGACATGGGCCAAGCCTGGGCCATTTAGGAAGAGCAATGGAGATGCCCCTCAAACCCTTGCTCTGCCCCTGGCCTCAGTTTCCCCATCTGTATTTGGGCATTATGATACCTGCTCTTTCCTCCCTTCTGCAGAAATAGAGGGTGGGCGGTTTTGTCCTCCTAGTCTCCAGATGTTCAGAAGTTGGGGCCTCGTCAGAGAACCCCAAGCCCTGTCCCTTTCCTGAACCCCACACCCCCTGCCCTGTTGCTGGGCTCCGACTTGGCAGGAAGTGACACTCTAGAAGCCGGTGCTGCAGTGTCTTATCAGCTGTTGCCGAGCCTTAGATGTCCGCCTGGGGCCTAGACTGCCTCTACCCCCCTTTAGTGGCAGCAGGAAGGGAGGGGGGACGTTCGCCGGGGACTGATGTGGTCAAGGCTGAAGATCCAGAGTCAGCCTGGAGGGGGCCGACCCAGGGGCTCTCTGTTCAGAGTCGTGAGGACAGAGGGCCTTGGGGGAACCCGGATGGCCAGAGAGTTAGGACAAAGCTGCAACTTGAGTCCCTGCTCCTGCCCCCCAACCCCCTATCAGGGGTGACTCCAGAGCAGCCTGCAGTGTCTGCTTCTCGCCCACAGTGAACCCCTGCTGCTATTACCCGTGCCAGCACCAGGGCATCTGTGTCCGCTTCGGCCTCGACAGCTACCAGTGTGACTGCACCCGCACCGGCTACTCTGGCCCCAACTGCACTATCCGTGAGCCACCCCCTGCCCGTGCCCTTCTGCCCGCCTCTCCCCTGGGCCCCCCCCCCCCCGGACCCCCTTCCTGGCCTCTCCACTCGTGGCTCCATTCTCACGCCTTCCCTGCCTCTGGCCTCTGACATTGTCCCTGACCTGGCTCCTCCATGAGCTCATTTCTGACACCTCACTCCTGGGTCCAGGCTCTGCGGTGAGTCACCCCTGCCCAGCCCGGACACATCCTGTGGCCCTCTCCCCTGTCCTCACGTCTGGCTCTGGCTCTGGCTCCATCAAGAGCCGTCCTCTCCATGGTTCCCTCCTGCCCCCACCCCATATGCAGTGCCCTGTTCTGTCCTGGCCACACCCCCAGTTCCCGCCTCCCAGTCTGGTCACTTCTGGTCCTGCCAGGAGGGCCCGGCTGAGTGGCTCCCATGCCCTGCAGCTGACCTGTGGACCTGGCTCCGGAATTCCCTGCGGCCCAGCCCCTCTTTCCTCCACTTCCTGCTGACGCACGGGCGCTGGTTCTGGGAGTTCATCAATGCCACCTTCATCCGTGACATGCTCATGCGCCTGGTGCTCACAGGTGGGCGCGGGACAGCACCCCTCTAGTCTGGGAGAGCGAGAAATCCTGCCAGTTCTAGCAATTCCTGGCATCTGATAAGGGCAGTGGGTGGGGAGGCTCTGTGATGCCAGAGAAAACACGCGCGAACCAAGGAGACGGGGAAGAGGTGTGACTGGGGGTGGGAACCCCTGACCACCATTATTTTTGCCCCCTGCAGCACGTTCCAACCTTATCCCCAGCCCCCCCACCTACAACTTAGCACATGACTACATCAGCTGGGAGTCCTTCTCCAACGTGAGCTATTACACTCGTGTTCTGCCCTCCGTTCCCCAAGACTGCCCCACGCCCATGGGGACCAAAGGTAATGGAGATGGGGTGAGGGACCTGGGCTGGGGGACTGCCAGGGGAGAGTCTTCCTCTGTGGGAAAAAGTAGGCAGAAGAGCAACCAGTGACCCATTCTCCTGGTAGAGACCCTGTCCAGAGCCAGGGGTGAGGACAGGGCGGGGAATGAGGACAGGAAAGGGCAGTGAAGGGTCTTACCTGAAGTCACCCAGAAAGTCAGGGAATCAGTGTTTCCATATTTCCAGACGTCTCTTTGCCTGAGCCTTGTCTGCTGCATGGCGTCCTACTCGGATGAGGGACCTGAACATTGAGACACGGGAAGGAAGGAACAGTGTGCTGTTGAGTGGTGTAACTCTGATTCTGTACTATTATAGTTTTTTTTTTTTTTAAAGATTTATTTATTTATTTATACAAGCACTGGGTACAGTCAGAAGCGCAGGAGGGTGAGAGAATTCACCAGAGCCAGAGCGGGGAGCAGAACAGGCAGACTGATGAAGTACACTGCCGAGGGGAGCAGCGGGCGCAGCAGGAGAGGTCTGCGCGCCATGTGGGACCCTTGCCCTGCGGCCGGGGATTGAACCAGCACTGCAGAGGCTGCGGGCAGCTTCACAACCTAGCGCTCAACCATCGCGCCACCAGGGAGGCCCAAAAATTATAGTTTTTCATGCTTCATCTCTGTAGGTTACACACATGGATTTTTTTTCCTTTGGTTACTCAAGAACCCCCTTGGTCTCACCGGCAGTGGTCTTCCTCTGAAGGCCTTCTTCTCCCTCCACTCCTGATTGTCCAAAAACTTGGGGGCAGGGAGATGTGTACTTAGTTCAAAGCCATCGAGTGCTTTGAACTAAGCGCCCTAGGGGGGCACTGCTGAACACTGGCCCTGCACAGCTCTAAGGTTGTGTCTTCTGCAGGTTCAGAACTTTGCTTATGTATTGATGTCCTTCCTTGAGCCTCACCAGCGTTACAAGGATGTTCTGCCCTACACATGCAGTTGCTATTCCCAAAGGATGACCATTTTGCCAGGAAGGCTGGGTCTTGCAGAGCTTCTGGACTCTGCTGACACTGCTGAAACTAGTCCTTGCTCATTGGCAGCCTGAGCAAGGAGTACAGTTCATTCCTCTGACTTCCCTCTTGGTCACTACCCTTTGGGCTGTTTGATATCCTGCCAGTCAGAGGAAACCAGTTGATGATCTCAACCCAAATAAGTTCTATTGATCTCGAATCTTCAACTTTGGACTTCCCATGAAGAGCTGTGAAAGGATGTCTTTAACAGAAGACAAAAATCCAATTCTTGGGCCTCCCCTGGTGGTGCAGGTTGCGGTTGAGCACCACGCTGTGAAGCTGTCTGCATCCTCTGCAGCGCCGGCTCAATCCCGGCCGGCCGCCGAGGGTCCCACATGGCGCAGCAGACCTCTCCTGTCTCGCCCGCTGCTCCCCTCAGCAGTGTTTTTCGTCAGTCTGCCTGTTCTGTTCCCCACTCTGTCTCTGGTGAATCCTCTCACCCTCCCACGCATCAGGCCTGTACCCCGGTTCTTGTATAAAATAAATAAATAAATCTTTTTTTTTAAAAAAAGAATATTCTTAAAAATAAATAAATAAATCCAATTCTTCCTTTCTGTGAAGGCACAGGGGACCTGCTTATCTGACATTGACATCTTAATACTTATTGTCATAATGACAGATAGTTGCTTCCAGATGATGACTTGTCTTTACCCCAGATAGAGAAAGACTGGGTAAAGTCACATAGAATATAGAATAGGTTGGCAAATTCTAGACCACAGGTGGGATCCCACTCATGTGCTGTTCTTATAAGTAAAGCTTTATGGTCCTGCTCATTTGGGTACTTACCATCTATGACTGCTTTGTTGCTCAAAGAGCAAAGCTGAATAGATGCAACACCTGTTGGTAAAGTCTCAAATATTGACAATCTGAAAAAAAATGGACTACCTGGCCTTTTGCTGAAGTTTACTGACCCTTGCTTTAAAAGATTCTACCTCACTAGTTCTCTGTCCTATTTACATCAGCTCCTGCACCCTTCAAATCTGCTGCATGAAATAGGGATCATTTGCCCTATTTTGTAGATGAAGAAATTAGGACTCAGAGAGATGAAATGGCTTCTTGATGTTTACACAGTTAGGAAATGGCGTAGTCACTGTCAAACACTGGATACCGTGCTTCAGGGCCTGGAAGTCCAAGTTCTTCTCTCCTCCTACTCCCCTCACGCCCCTTTTCCTCCTCCTCCTCCTTTTTTCTTTTCGTTTAATGTTTTCAAAGTTGCAAACATACACACAAAGGTGAGAAGAAAGTCCAGTGAACGCCTGTGTGTCCACTTCCTGGTTTCAAGACTTGTCCATGACTTACCAGTCATATTTTATCCATCCCTCACCTTAGCTTTGATGGAGTATTTGAAAGCAAATTCCACTGATGCCATTTTGCCATAAAAACTTCTAGGGTCTTTGCTAGAGAGGGTGCCAGGGGCCCACTGGTGAGAGGGAGGAGGGCCTGGGGAGGCTGCTCTGGGCATCCTGCTTTGACCAGTTTGGTCTGGTGAGTCTAGAAGGCCCGGAAAGGGGGCAACCACTGAGATCTCCCACCTCTCCAACCAGGGAAGAAGCAGCTGCCAGATGCCCAGCTCCTGGGTCAACGCTTCCTGCTCAGGAGGAAGTTCATACCTGACCCCCAAGGCACCAACCTCATGTTTGCCTTCTTTGCACAACACTTCACCCATCAGTTCTTCAAAACTTCCGGCAAAATGGGACCTGGCTTCACCAAGGCCTTGGGCCATGGGGTGAGCACCTGGGCGGGGCCCAGGACTATGCTGGGCCTGCCTTGGCACATGGAGGTCATTGCTGGAGGGCAGGACCTGGTGATTTGAGTGGACCCTCTCTCTCCTCAGGTGGACCTCGGCCACATTTATGGAGATAATCTGGATCGTCAGTATCAGCTGCGGCTCTTTAAGGATGGAAAACTCAAGTACCAGGTAGCGCTGGGCCTGGGGGAGGGCGCTGGGAAGGGCTTCTGTGGTGCTCCCTGCAGAGGTCAGGACGGTGTCCTGAGAGGGCCAAGGAGGAGGAGAGGAATAAGCCCTGGGAGATGTTTCGAGGCATGAGAAACAAAGAGCAGACATGTCTCTCGTGTCTTCCTGGGAGGTGGATTTTGGGGCTCAGCAGGAGATGGACATTTGCAGGCTGCAGTCATTCAAGTTATTATTCCACTGTGTTGTGGGCACCGTGATGCACCTGGCACAGGGGGTGAGCAGTGATCATGGCAGTTAACTGGTCCTGCCCACAAGGAACTCACAGTCGGCCAGAGACCAGACCACAGACAGGAACTCCTGGCTGCTGGTTCCACAGGGACCTTTTGCTGGACATGTGCTGCCCATGAGCTATAGAATGTGAGCCACAGGCAGTTAAAATTTTCTAGTGGGCCTCCCTGGTGGCACAAGGGGTTAAGACACAACCTATGAAGCTGTCTGCAGCCACTGCAGCATGAGTTCAATCCCCAGCTAGGGAGCTACGCACATGGCGCAGCAGACCTCTCCTGTCTCGCCCACTGTTCCCCTCCCTCAGCAGTGTATTTCAGTCAATCTGCCTGTTCTGTTCCCCACTCTGTCTCTGGTGAATCCTCTCATCTCCCACACCTCTGGCCTGTACCTCAGCTCTTTTATGCATAAATAAATAAATCTTTTAAAAAAAAAAGAATCAGGTGGGAGGTGAGGGTGCGTTGCGGGAGGGTGGTGGTAGTGAAGATGGGGAGAAAGGGACCCATTTTAACAGATGTCAGAGAAAGAATCAGCAGGTCTTGTTTGGGGAGGATGGGCGAGAGCAGGAGGGTGCCAGCTGTGGCAGGTGTGGGCGCTCTGCACGTGCCCAGATTGCCAGGCGGCCCCATCCCACAGGTGCTGAACGGAGAGATGTACCCGCCGTCAGTGGAAGAGGCGCCGGTGCTGATGCACTACCCACGGAATGTCCCGGCCCGGAACCAGATGGCCGTGGGCCAGGAGGTGTTCGGGCTGCTCCCTGGGCTCATGCTCTATGCCACGCTCTGGCTGCGTGAGCACAACCGCGTGTGTGACCTGCTGAAAGCGGAGCATCCCACCTGGAATGATGAGCAGCTCTTCCAGACAGCCCGCCTCATCCTCATTGGTGAGGGCTCCCAGCCAGCCCGGCCCTGGAAGGTCATGCTCTGCTCTTAGATGCTGGGGTTAGAATCCTAGGCTTCTACTGATTCCCTCTGAGACCCGGAGCAGGCCCCTCCCACTATGTGAGCCTCAGTTTCCAAATCTGGACACTAGGGATAAGGATGGTTATTAGGAAAGGGAAAATACTTGAAAGCACTTAGCACATAGTAGGTCTTCAGAAAATGGATGGCCATGATGGCTGATTATTAGCCCAGCAAATTTGACTGGCCGTTCTCACTCTCGGTTTCCCCATTGTACTATGCACAGTGACTGAACTAGCGCGCGCAGGGTCACACCTAGCTTGCCCAGCCTTCTGGGCAACTCCTTTCCTCCTCTGCATTTATCTGCCTTCCTGGAGTTTGGTAACTTCTAGGTGACTCAGGGACAGGATATTTTTGTGTCCCCTACGGGGGCGAGTCTGCAGCCCAAAATGTTAGATGGTTTCCTGCCTGGGAGCTTGGCCCCTGGCACCCCTGTCCAGACCACGTTCACTCTGAGTCACCAGTAACCCTTTCTCCCGCCTCTGGGCATCACTGGGCATGGCTGGTCCCAATTATAGAGCCTGATTCACTGGACCCTGGAAGAGCTAGGCATCGGGCATAGGAGCAGCCTAAAGAAGGGGTTGGTTCCAAAGTCTCAGCATTGCAGAGATCTTGATCAGAGAGGACAAACATGTGCCTGGGGGCTGCCCAGCGATCACTGGTGATGAAGCTGTGACCAAAGGCCTTTATGGGCCAGATAAGATTACCTTGTGAGCATGAAGATTCAGAGAGACTGAGTGAATTCTTGAAGGCCACTCAGCAGAGGGAGACTTGAACTACCCATAGTCATGCTGTTTCCACCACATCCACTCTCCTGGGTGGGGAGGGGGCTGTTAGCCTTAGTCTAATCTTTTGGTATGTGTGAGTCTGGGGAGGGGCTTCACCTCCCCCCCACCCCCCGATGCCACACGCAGCCACCTCCTCCTTCTCACCTCACTTGATTTTACCAGGTCCTTGCCAAGCAGCTTGGGTTCATTGTCTACTCCTGCCAGAGACCTCATGAATATCATTCTACTGACTCAATATAATACACATTTTTGCAGATAAGTGAGGTTCAGAGAGATTAAGTAACATGGCTTCAGTTCATTGAGAAGCCAGGATTTAACCCAGGTCTGTTGACTGCAAATCCAGTGGCTCTGGATCAACAGACTATAAGCCAATTTGTCTAATAACTAATTGGCCAAAATACCAGTTTCTCTTAATATCTAGTTGATCCGTTTTCATTTTGCTATGGGATGTCCCATTTGTTGGCTCTTTGCTCTGTAGCTGGTTATTGAAGGGGCAGAGGAAAAATCTATTTGTAAGAATTCTGATATTCTGTAAGGAATATATTTGGGGCACACTTTGCCCTCTGCCTGTGGTATCCTTCTTTAGCTGCGGACAGCGGCTCTCGGAGGGGTCTCTTTGAAAGCTCCTCTCCCACTGAGTTAATCTCCATTTTCCCATCTCGTGCGGCCTCTCCAACATTTTAGTGGGCTGTGGGAGGATGGTCACTTCAGGGTCATGAGACCCATTCTGGATACTTCCTTTGCACGCCCTGCTTAGCTGGGTCTTCAGGGACATGGGAGTAGCAGGTGTCTCTTGTCTTGGGACATCAGTGTAACCTCAGACAGAAAGTTCCATTTTCACACCCATTACAGAAAGTCAAAGTGAATGTGGTCAAATATAATTAAGCAACAATGACAACAATAAGGAAACCAAAAGCACCAGCTCCAGTGGAAGGCTGCCTGGCATTTCCTCATAAGACTGAAAATGGTTCTGCCATATGGTGCAGCAATTCCAACTCCTAGGATTTATCACCAAACACAAAAATACTAATTCGAAAGGAAAACTGCACTCCTATGTTTATTGCAGCACAATAGTCAAGCTTTGGGAAACTAAATGCACCAGAACAGTTGAGTGGATCAAGAAGATGTGATACACACACACACACACACACACACACACACACACACACACACACACACAATGGAATACTACTCAGCCATGAAAAAGATAAACCCATTCCATTTGCAGCAACAGGATCCAGATGGAAAGGATTATGCAACGTGAAATAAATCCAAAAGAGATGGTGTTACTTATATGCAGAGTATAGAAAAAAAACAAACAAGGGTCAAACAAAGACAAACTATAAAATCAACCCTTGAAAACTGACCACAGATCTGAGACATCCAAGAGGGGAGGGGGTCGGGGGAAGGAAGAGCAGGGTGAGAGAGCACTATGGTGGAGGATTATGGGTGCTTTGGTAGTGGGAGAGCTACAATGCCACACCTGAGAAATCCTATATTGTCAAATATTAATAAAGATGTAAAACAATATGTCATTAATAAATAATTTTTTTAAAAAAGAAGCAAAAAGCAAGCACTTTGCATGAACTGGCCTGCTTCCCAAGCCAGGTGGGTAGCTCAGCATGCCCTGCTGATTTCTTTTCTAACCTCCCTTCCAGGGGAGACCATCAAGATAGTGATCGAGGAGTATGTGCAGCAGCTCAGTGGCTACTTCCTGCAGCTAAAGTTTGACCCGGAGCTGCTGTTCAGTTCCCAGTTCCAGTACCGCAACCGCATCGCCATGGAGTTCAACCAGCTCTACCACTGGCACCCGCTCATGCCCAACTCCTTCCAGGTGGGCCCCCAGGAGTACACCTACGAGCAGTTCTTGTTCAACACCTCCATGCTGGTGGACTACGGTGTCGAGACCCTGGTGGAGGCCTTCTCTCGCCAGAGTGCTGGCCGGGTAAGCTGCAGAGAGCGCTCACGAGGGCAGGTGGCTCTGGGGTCCCACAGATCAGGGCCCAAATTCCAGTTTTCTTTTCTGCTCCTCTTACAGGGTAGTTGTAAGCATTCCTTCCTTCCTCTTCTCTGCTCTTGTTCTTTTGTTCATTCAACAGTCCTGGGCCTGATGCCCCATACTGGGGATGGAGCAGTGAGCAAGACCATTGTGATCCTTGGGTCCCTCGGTGCTTTGATTCTAGAAAGGAGCAGTGGTTGTGTGACTATCACATCATTCGAGCATGTTCTGATTGTTAGTACTGGGCCAAGTGCTTTCTGACCTTATCAGAATTACCAGAGCCTGTTAACCATAGGAACTCAGAGAGGGGCTTCTGACCAGAGTTAGCGGCTATGGGTGAGGAAGTGATGTCTGATCAGAGACCTGAAGGATGCCTTGGGAGAGGTGGTGTTAATGGCCGTGGTCCGGATGGAGGAGCATGGCTGTGGTCTGGATGGAGGGGCAGCACGGCAAAAGCCTGGAGGTCACTGGGCATGCATAGCAGATTGAGGGCCAGGAAGACATTCAGGGTCTGTAACACATGTGAAGGTGCCTGCACACAGTAGGTCTTTATTACATCAGAGACTTCCACCATGGACTGAATAGTCTGCCCCGAATTCATATGTTGAAGTCCTAACCTTATACCTTAAAATGTGATTGTTCTTGGAGATAGCATTTTCAAAAGGTAATTAAGGTTAATGGGTGATTGGGTGGCCCTCATGGAATGTGACTGGTGTCCTTCTAGAGAGAGAGGGGTCCCCCCATGCAGAGGAAGACCCAGTGAGGAGACAGCCATCTCCGAGCCGACAAGAGAGCCCCAGAGTAAAGTCAAGCCCGCCCACATCTTGATCTTGGACTTCTAGCCTCCACAACTGTAGATAATCAATCTCCGGAGGTTAAGCCTCCCTGTCGGTGGGGCTGCACTGTGGCAGCCCTAGGAAAGGAACAGTCGCTGGCCTGGCATCCCTCCCTGATTCGTTCTCTCCTAATTTGGAAGCTCCCGGCTCTCTCATCCCAGCTCTCTGGCTCCTTCGTCCCCTGCTTTCCAATTCCTGTCCCTGAGCCCTGGCACGAAGCTCTGGCACCCTCCGCCCTAGGCTTCCTCCCGGTGGTGATTTGGTTGAAATCAGCATGTGCTGAACCCGATGAGCTGCTTCTGGCTGCTTCTTGACCTCTGTGCGCTGTGGACACACAGGCACGCAAGGAGACAATTGCCTTGCTGTGGGCTGTACGGTTTCCATAGCATTTTCATGGAATTACCATGATGTGTGGGCAAAGCCCGGGTGTTGAACTTGGCACAGAGAGAAGGGCAACAAAGGTGATTAAAAAAAAAGTGAAAAGAAAAGACAACTCTCAGGATATTAAGAGAGTGTGAGAAGCCATGAAAGAAACCGGCTTCCCGCCTGATGACCATGACAGAGGGCTGCCTCCTTGGGGAGCCCACATAGCCAATACTGTGATGACTGCTTTGCTAACTTGATCTCGCCCATTTCACCAGGACTTTACCCAGTGGGGTGCTTTCATTGTTCTTATATTTGCATAGGAGACCGCATCACGGCTCAAGTGACTGGCCTGAGGCTCCTGGATTAGTTTCCTAGGGCTGCAATGTGGATGATTTTAACAGCAGAAGTTTTTTTTTGTCCTATTCTGGGTAGAAGTCTACAGTCTGGGCATTGAGGGTCCTGCTGTCTCTCAGGCTCCAGGGGGAGAATCTTCCCCAGGCCTTCCTCTTACTTAGCTGCTGCTGGCTGCTGACAAACTTTGATGCCCTGCATTGTATAAGCATCACCCCAACATGGTATTCCCCCAAGGCAGCTCTGTTTTCTCTATTGGTACATCAGTCACTGGATGAGAGCCCAATGAATGGACTATGACCTCATTTTAACTTGTTTACAACCATTTCCAAATACGCTCACATTCTCAGGTGCTGGGAATTAGGAGTTCAACATGTCTTTTTTGGGGGACAAGTCAACTTCCAACAGCCTCCACCACCCAGCTTGTATACAACAGAGCTGAGATGGCTACCAGCCCCTGCTAAATTTGCTCCAAGGCGTGCTTTCACTCAACAAGGGTTCTCCTCTTTCCCATCTAGTTATACTTGCTCTATTTACACAGCAAGAAATAACTCTTCTATGTTTTTTATGGAGGGAATATGAGTGCAGGTCACACCCCTGTTCAGGCTTCAGGGGTACAGTTTCTCACCTCAGCAAAAGAATTGTATATCTCATACCACACTGCCTCCAAATGTCCACTCACCATCCACACAAAGCTATTCCCTCCCCCTCTCCTGCCCCTCTGATAACCACTATTTTGTTCTCAAGGTTTGGTTTTGTGGTGCTAGTTTGGTGGTTTTTGCTTTTCTTTAAATTCCACAAGTGAATGAAATGATGCAGTATTTGTCTTTCTCCTTATAACTTCTTTCACTTAGTGCAATCCCCTGAAGGTCCATCCATGTTGTTGCAAATGGCACGAGTTCACCTTTTTAATGGCTGAGTAGTATTCTATTGTCTATATATACCACGTCCACTTAATCTCTTCATCTATCATCGGGCACTTGGATTGTTTCCATACCTTTGCTCTTATAAATTGTGCTGCAGGGATCATGGTGGGGGGTGGGGGCACGTATCTTTTTGAATAAGTGTTTTCATGGAAAGAACTCTTTCTTAAACATTGACATTATCCATCTTGAGAGATAGAGCTTTCTTTAGACCAATGCTCTTGAACTGTTATGAAATAGAATCTTCTTCTGCAGCCATCTTTTCCTTACCAAGTTTCCTGGCCTTTAACCCATATTTTCCCTTCCTTTGTAGGATATTACACTACTCCTTGGTCCTGGAGTTAAAGTCCAAGTTTAGTTAAGTTAAATTTGCATATACAGATAGATATATGTGATAGTTTTCCTGGGAAGAGTTTAGCCTGCTCCCTGCTAGCTTGTGACCATTCCCCTTCCAGAAGGCCTTGTAGAGGGGGAAGAAGGAACAGATATGAATGGCTTTCTCTGGTCTGAATGGAACATGACACTTTGTATTCCTACAGTTTCACTCTGATGTTCTCTTTTCTGTGGTGACTGGTTCCTAGACTGGTTTCAATATTAGATGCTCAGTAAATATTGAAATGTCATACTATAGTACCAGCAATAAAAAGCCATAAAAATAGTTTCCTTAGCAAGATCCTTTAAATGATCAAGCATCTCTGACCTATGATAAGAACTGATCTGGTGAGTGACAAACACACGTCAGTTTTGCCAGCTGTAATCTACAAAATATCTTAGGAAAGCCATGAAGTTCTGGCCCCCAAATCAATATTTTTCTGTCCTTTTGTTTCTATCCCTTGATAGCTCAGAAACCTTTCTGCCTGTCCCCCCCACAAAATTGCATTTCCAGAGCTGGGGTGCCCCTTTCTCCCTGCTTGAGCTCGGGGCTGTGGCTCTGCTGGTGTTCTGCTCTTCAGAGTCCTCATCTCTGAACCTAGTAGTTCCAAAATCTTCCTTAACAGGATGTTAGGGGCTTTCAGTTAAATTCGAAGGGCTGGGGAAGAGTGTGACATGGTGAGCCACTGGAGAGGGCCTCCTGGCGCACATGACACTTTAAAGATGAGGAAACTGAGACCCAGAGGGGGCCTGAGAGAAAGCATCCGCGTGGCAGAGGCAGAGCCAGGACCCAGATGTGGTGGCGGCTGGGCTGAGTCCTGCTCTCTCTCCTAGGCCAGGAAGGACACCTGGCCTGAAGTTCATTTCCAGGACCAAGTGACCTGGCTCTCAGACCACAGCTGTGTTTGTCTCCCGGCAGATCGGCGGGGGAAGGAACATGGACCCGCACGTCCTGCACGTGGCCGTGGAAGTCATCAAGGAGTCGCGAGAGTTGCGTCTGCAGCCGTTCAATGAGTACCGCAAGCGGTTTGGCATGAAGCCTTACACCTCCTTCCAGGAGCTCACAGGTGCGCACCTGTCTCCCGGCCACGGGGCCTGCCCTGAAGTGAGGGAGACATCAAGGAAACAGAACGGCGCCAAAGCCTGGGGTGGAGGAAGCATTGTGCCTGGTGGTGAGGGTGTCAAGTCGCCCCGCCTGGGCAGAGAAGGTGGCTTCTCATTTGGGTTTGAAGGCTAATGGGAATGTTCAGGCTGAGAATAGAGGAAGAGCATTCCAGGAAGAGGAACAGAAAATAGAAAGGCACAGAGGTCATAAAGAACGAGCCATTCTCATTGCTCAATTTGCTCTTCTGAAATCTCTTATTCTCCCCCAGGAAAAGGTAGGTCTAGAACTTTCTCTCCCTACATGAGCCTGAATGGCATCGTGACACTGACTCTAGCTCCTTCCCATTGTAGGAGAGAAGGAGATGGCAGCTGAGTTGCAGGATCTCTATGGAGACATCGATGCCTTGGAGTTCTACCCGGGCCTGCTTCTCGAGAAGTGCCATCCAAACTCCATTTTCGGAGAGAGTATGATAGAAATTGGGGCTCCCTTTTCCCTCAAGGGTCTCCTAGGGAATCCTATCTGTTCTCCGGAGTACTGGAAGCCAAGCACATTTGGTGGGGAGACGGGCTTCAACATTGTCAAGACAGCCACCCTGAAGAAGCTGGTCTGTCTCAACACCAAGACTTGTCCCTACGTTTCCTTCCACACGCCCAACCCCCACCAGGATGAGCGGTCTGCTGTGGAGCGGCCACCCACAGAGCTCTGAGGGCACAGGGCGGCAGTATTCCAGAAAGCTGACACCAGGGTTGACAGTCTTAAAGGTTCTTCTATTGAAGAACCTTATACGAAGACCATAAAATTGGATTCTGACGGCAAGAATGTCATATTTGCAGAGTGAGGATGAAATAATCTAGAAAGTTGGGGCATTCTTATTTTGTATTCTAGAATTCTGGTTGGCCCTCCAGAATGTTGACTTCATGATGGCAATTCGGAATGTTGTGATCCTGGCCGTTGATCCAGAACACTGGCTGGTGAGCCAGATCAGTGTCGATCTGAATGTTTAGAATGTTGATTTGATTCATTTTCCCCTTTAGGGGAATCTGACATCTAATAAGAATGCATTGCCTGAATCTGTGCCTGCACTGAGGTGGGGGGGGGCTCTTTTTGGGACCCCAATTTAGACACTGGTCTGAGGATATGGAGAACAGGTTGACTTTTATCACCTGTTCCACCGGAGCTCTGTCCCCATCCATGTCTCAGCTCATGGCAGCTGTTTCTCATGAAGCTAATAAATTCGTTCTCCAAATTGCCTGCTACATATCTCTTTTGGTCCTATCTCCAGCAGCTGAGCAGATGCCAATATGGCCTTTCTGCTGACCACATGCTGGCTATGCTGGAGGGTGCTGGAGACTTGGACACACTCCCCCCAGGGTCCCTGGGCTTGGCATCATGTAGATCATTCCTCACTGATGCTCTCCTCCCCCATCCCTACTGTGGGTTAGACACTGCCTTTCCCAGGCTGCTCTCCTAAAACACACAACTCCCCAAACCCAGAAGACACAGCATTCTGCTGACATCCCTTCCCCCTACCCACCAAGAGCCAGAGCCAGCTCAGGACCCAGGTCTGGCTGAGTCTAGAGCTGTGCTCTTTCTCCTACGCAGCTTCCTCTTATTTCCTCCTGGACTGAATTCCAGCTCTGATCTAGTCTGCCTGGCTCAGGGTCAAAGGCAGAAGGTGGGGTGTAGCCTCTGCCTTACTGCATGCTATTTGTTCAGTCACAAGTGTTTATTTTTCTAAGAGCTTACTACATGCTGGTCGCTGTTACTGGCTTGGGGCTACAGCAGTGAGTGATCAAAACAGGCAAGACTGCCTGCCTGGAGCACACATTCTAGTGGGGGCAGAGCTGACACCTAACAAGGCAACAATGAAACCAGAGCAATGCAAGGCAGGGTGAGTGCGGTAACCCCTCTAAGGTAATGTGCTCTGCACCCCCTGCTTGATTCCCAGACCTGAGACCTTTCCAGACCTGAGACCTTTCCCAGCTACATAGTAGTGGCTGTAGTACTACTATAGCAGTAGTAGGCAAAGCCAGAAGAGAGGCCAGAAGGGTAAGGTGCGAGGTCAGGAGCTCTCCATTCATTTGGCTTAGAGGTCTTTGGGAAGAACAATGATCCAGAAACCATGGGGGAAATTGGGGTGCAGGCTGAGGTTCTTTGGGGCCAGGCCTCCTGTCTTAAGGTTCAGACACACCTTGTTTTTCCTTGGTTGACTGGGGGCTGCTGCCACCATGTCCCCCTGCTCCCCAGCTGCACTGATGGGAAGGATTCTTTAACATGTTGAAAGTGGGCCTGGAGTGTCTGTGACCTGTCCTTGTCCCCAACTGCCTATTTCCCCTCATTTGCTGCTATACCTACTTTGTCTGAGAATCCCCCCTCATTGATTGCAATCTCAGTGTCTCCACCAGGGACCCTATCCTGGCCAAGGGTGGCCTATGAATCAATCCCAGTCAATCAGACACCCTCTCCTTAGAAATAAGCTATATAAGACTAAAAAGGTCTTGCACAGTGAAACTACTGAGTGGGAGAAAATATTTGTACATCATCCATCCGACAAGAAGCTGATTAATACCCAAGATCTATAAGGACTCATACAAGACAACGTGAAAACAAATAGCCCGGTTAAAAAATGGGCAGGGGAGCTAAATAAGCACTGCTCAAAGAAGACATACAGAGGGTCAACAGGCACATGAAAACAATGCTCATCATTACTTATTATCAGGGAAATACAAATCAAAACAACAATAAGAGGTCACTTCATTATGTGAGAATGGTTCATGTCAAAAAGACCAGTAACAACAAAGGTTGGAGGGGCCTCCCTGGTGGCGCAGGGGTTAAAGTCAGTGCTACCAAGCTGTCGCCAGTCACTGCAGCACGAGTTTGATCCCAGCCAGGGAGCTACCCACATGGTGCAGCAGACCTCTCCTGCCTCTCCCGCTGCTCCCCTCAGCAGTGTATTTCAGTAGATCTGCCTGTTCTGCTCCCCACTCTGTCTCTGGTGAATCCTCTCACCCCCTGCACCTCTGGCCTGCACCCCAGTTCCTGTGTGCATAAATAAATAAATCTTTAAAAAAATGTTGGGGAGAATGCTGAGGAAAACGAAGCTTGGCATACTGTCCGTGGGACTGTAGACGGGACCAGTCCCTGTGAAAAACAGTATGGAGGGGTCTCAAAATACTAAAAATAGATCTAACTTAAGACCCAGCAATCCTACTCCTAGGTATCTAGCCTACGGATGTAAAAACACTAATTCAAGGGATATGTGCTCTCTGATGTTTATTGCAGCACTTTTTACAATAGCCAAGTTTGGAAACACCCTAAGTTCCCAAAGCAGATGAGTAGATTAAGAAGAAGTGGCATCTACACAATACATACACAATAGAATGCTACTCAGCTAGCAAAAAAGATGAAATCTTTCCATTTGTGACAACTTGGAGGGAACTGGAAGGGGGTTATGCTCAGTGAAGTAAGTCAAAGGAGAAAGACATACTGGATGATTTCACTCATATGTGAAATGTAGTGAAACAAGACTAAGGCACAGAAAATGAAAACCAAAACAAATCCTATAAATCTGAATGTAGAACGGAGGCTACCAGAGTGTGGGGGTCAAGGAGGCAGAAATGGGGGGAACAGGGCCCAATGGTGGAGGATGACGGGCGGGTTTGGTGGTAGGCCTGGTATTATAACACGCACCTGAAGAGGTGTGCACCTGTATCCCCAACTCACACACAGTGTTGTGACCCATTATTAACCTCACTAAAAAGAATAGAATAAAAAGAAAGAGCTACTGGCCCCTGGCTGGAGTTCCTGGAAATGAGATGACTGGCTCTGATTCTTCTCTACAGGGGGCTCTGAAAATATTTTCCATTAATTCCTGTTTCCAAGATCAGGGAAGATCACCAGGAAATTCCTGGCCTTCTCAAGACCTGGGCTTTCCGTCCATCGTGGCGGCTGTTACATGAACACTTTCACTAGAATTAATCACTTGATGTCCGTTGCCTGCAACCAGGCCTTAATGACTGCTGCCTGAGGTGACAGAAGCACAAAGATGGCTCTGGAATTTTAATCAGGAGAGGCACAATCGCACTAGTGTTCCTGAAAGAGTACCCTCTGGTGGGTGGGTGACAGAGTGGAGCAGGGTGGACAGAGGTCAGCAGAGCAGCGAGGGGGTGGTGGCCGTGGTCCGCCATCTGAGATGATGGCAGCTGGGGTCAGGCGAAGGGGCTGAGGGAGTGGGAGGTGGACTTTGTTTGGTGAAGACAACTGTGTGTGAAAGTTTTGCAAAGGGAAATATATTGGCTGTACCAAGAAGGATTCCTTCCATCAAAATGTTCCAAGAAGGGTCTTAATGCTCGTGATATGAATGCTCATTTCTGGAATTTTCATGTGGTGAGTGTGATGGTTAATTTTATGTGTTAACTTGGCTGGGCTTCAGTACCCACTTATTAAATCAAACACTGCTCCAAAACAGTGGCCACTGCTCCAGTAAAAATGCTTCTGCTCTAGCCCCTGGGCCAGGCATCACAGGTTGCCCCTCTGCTGCTCCCATGCCACTCCTGCTACTCCAGGGCTGCTTCCCTAGCCACCCTTGCAGATGATGGGTGCGGTGCCTGCTTCCCCCTCCACTAAGTAATGAAAGTCATTTTCATTTTTTTATCTGATTGGTGGAAACCCCTGTGAGAGAGGGTGGGAGCTTGCAGCTTGAGGCAGGTGGCGGGGACACCTATAGCTGGGAAGGTTGCTGGGATGGACGGCTGACCTTGGTGAATCTGAGTTCTCCAAGTCTGCTTTGCCTCTGTGAGCACTAACCCTACATGACTGAAACAACCTCACAGCGGCACCACGGCTGACCTGGCAGCAGCTCAGGCTTGCAAGCAGAGACCTTCAGAAGTGAGATTACAGAAACACAGAATAACAAAGATGCAAAGATGGGGTGGCGGTGCATGGTGCAAATCATCTTCCAGTAAAAAAGTGTCCAAAATATTAGACAAGCCGACAACCTACTTTTTATCTTAGTCATGCTTTTCCTATAAAGATGGACTTTAAACTAAAATAGTTTAGAATACTATATGGATGGCAGTAAGGAATATGGAAACGCAAAAAATGCTTTTTAAAATATTTATTTATTTATACAAGAACTGGGGTACAGGTCAGATGCGCGGGAGGGTGAGAGGAGTCACCAGAGACAGAGCGGGGAACAGAACAGGCAGACTGACGAAATACACTGCTGAGGGGAGCAGCGGGCATGGCAGGAGAGGTCTGCTGCGCCATGTGGGACCCTCGCCAGCCGGCTGGGATGGAACTGGCGCTGCAGAGGCTGCGGACAGCTTCACAGCGTGGCGCTCAACCTCCTGCACCAGCAGGGGAGGCCCGCAAAGGATGCTTTTATAGGGGATGGATGAGGGAATGACCTTGAAGCACCTTCATCATTCTCTTATGCTTGTTATGCTTCCTTTAAAGAGGATTTCCTCTAAGCCTGGGTCAAATGCTTTTGTTGCTCTTTCTACTTTTGGCCCAGAGGAACTTTGAGCCAGTTGTATAACTTTGGGCTTGGTATTTCAGCTTACAGGACAACATAGCAGTACATTCTCGCAGCTGTCCATGCAGGTTTTTGCCCCGCCCCACCGTTGGAGATTGTCATTCATGCAGCAAAATGCACTAATTTTAAGTTTGTCCCTTGATGAAAATTTACATGTGCATAAGCCCATCTGGGGGATAAATGGGCACATCCCTATATATGTAGATTTCGCTATCTACAAACCCACAAGAAAATCAAGGTAGAGAATATTTCCGGCCTCTACGAGGCTCTTTTGTGTCCCTTCCCCAACAAAAGCCTCTGAAATGCAGCCATTATTCTGACCTCTGTCACCATTAATTGGTTTTGTCTGCTTGTAACCTTGGATGGAGTGATACAGGATGTTCTTTCTTTGCCTGGCTTCTTCGCGCAGCACATCTGGGGACATCTCTGCTGCCTGCGTATCAAGCTCTGATACTCCTCAGTGCTGCTGGAAGCATTCAGTGTTTACTGTTTGGACATTCGGGTGGTTTCCATTTTTCTAAACATTAAATAAAACTGCCTCTAGGCAGATTTTTTAACTCTTACAACCAGGTTCTATTTAAAAAGTCATCTTTCATCACATTCTGGGACATGGTTCCTGGTCTCCAGTCAATGCCCCCTGCTGTGTCTTCTCTTGCTTTCCGTATGGCCTGATGAATTCAAGAGTGGGGCAGCCTAGTTCCAGGAGGAGAAACAGAGAAGGTGAATTTAAGAGTCTACTCTGCTGCGGCAGGCGCCCTCTCTGACGGTCTCATTACCTAT